GTCTAGGTTGGCATAGCTTTTCTTTCAGGGAGCAAGTGTCTTAATTTCATGGATGCAGTCACCATCTACAGTGATTTTGGAGCCCCCCAAAATCAAGTCTCTTACTGTTTTCCATTGTTTCCCCATCTATTTGCCATGAAGTGATGGAACTGGATGCCATGATCTTAGTTTTCTGAATGTTGAGTTTTAAGGCAACTTTTACCCTCTCTTTCACTTTCATCAAGAGGCTCTTTAGTTCCTCTTCACTTTCTGCCATAAGGGTGGTGTCATCTGTATATCTGAGGTTATTGATATTTCTCCTGGCAATCTTGATTCCAGCTTGTGCTTCATCCAGCCCAGCATTTTGATCATGTACTCTGCATATAAGTTAAATAAGCAGGGTGACAGTATACAGCCTGACGTAGTCGTTTCCCAATTTTGAACCAGTTTGTTGTTCCATGTCCAGTTCTAATTGTTGCTTTTTGACCTGCATACAGATTTCTCAGGAGGCAGGTCAGGTGGTCTGGTATTCCCATCTCTTGAAGAATTTTCCACCGTTTGTTGTGATCCACACAGTCAAAGGCTTTGGCATAGTCAGCAAAGCAGAAGTAGATGTTTTTGTGGAACTCTCTCGCTTTTTCAATGATCCAACGAATGTTGGCAATTTGATCTCTGGTTCCTCTGCCTTTTCTAAATCCAGCTTGAATATCTGGAAGTTCATGGTTCACGTACTGCTGAAGCCTGGCTTGGAGGATTTTGAGCATTACGTTGCTAGTGTGTGAGATGAGTACAGTTGTGTGGTAGTTTGAACATTCTTTGGCATTGCCATTCTTTGGGATTGGAATGAAAACTGACCTTTTCCAGTCCTGTGGCTACTGCTGAGTTTTCCAATTTTGCTGGCATATTGAGCACAGCACTTTAACAGCATCATTTTTAAGGATTTGAAATAGCTCAACTGGAATTCCATCATCTCCACCTAGATGCAGCACATGTCTACATTTTCTTTCAAACATCTAATGGAGTGATAGGTAGTAAGTATTGAATGGTAATTAAGATAGTTGTTGATAACACTTTGTCAGTCTTCACTTTCTTCTTTGTTTCTTCTCTTTCCTTTTGCTTACCCTTTCTAACTTTTCCCTGCATTTTCCTTCTTCTTTTATTGCTTATGGCTACGAAGGACACTTGTTAAAATCCACAGCTACTGCCTGTCTCCAACAGCAACGTTCAAAGCTAGGGAAAAAGTCATTAAAGTAATATGCTTTGAAGTTAGTTTTTAAGGTATAAATGGTAGCTTATATTAAAGCAACCATTTTCTTTTCTTTTGTTTATATAGTGCTGGTTATTCCACCTCTTTTTTTTTTTTTAAGTAAAGCAAGACTCACTTCAGGTAGAACAGTTGATAGCATTTGTTGTCAATAATTCCAGCTTTCAGATGAAAATTTGAATTTTTGGAAAACTTATATCTGCCACTGTGAGCTTGACAACTTCCCAAAACTTTTGATGAGATTGGTAGTTATGGTGTGATGATTCTGATATCACACAATGACGTGTATCAATATTTGGAAATCTGCATCACTTAATCTACCATGTTTTCCAAGGTACAGATATATGAACTTATAGAATCAGGTATGGGTAAAAAAAGAAAGCTAGTAAAATAAAAGGTATACAGTGGATTTTAATTTAAGAGTATTAAAAGTTCATTGATAAAATTTTTTTTCTGCCTTGCAAAAAATTCTTAGTAAGCTACCAACTTGTCAACTGTTGTTAGAATATACACAATTTTCCAACTGCATATCTGATGAAACTCAATTTCTTTATAAACATTAACCAAAAGAGCATGGGGGATTACCTATGGTGGCTCAAGTGGTAAAGAATCTGTCTGCCAATGCAGGAGACATGAATTCCATCTCTGAGTTGGGAAGATCCCCTGTAGTAGGAAATGGCAACCCACTTCAGTATTCTTGCCTGGAAAATTTCTGTGGGCAGAAGAGCCTGGCGGGCAGTAGTCCATGGGGTTGCAGAGTCAGACACGACTGAACACTCATGCACACAAAAGAGCATGTTGCTACTGACTGAATGCAGAAAGAGATGTAAAAATTCAGTTCTCTCCCATTGGACATTAAAGAGATGTGTGAAGATCTCATTAAAGTTCTTTGCTTTGAAAAATATTTCTCATAAAAACATTTTCATTAGCATATAGTGGACTCATTTATGAAAAAATATTTTAAATGTTTTAGGGGTTTCAGTTCTAATGTATAATCCAAAATAGTGATAAATATAAATCGCATAAACTTAAGTTCAGTGAAGAGAGCAAAGAGGTCCTGACACCAAATGTTTAAATATGGCAGAGTACAAATGGAAAGGGTGCCTGGTTATCATGGCTCGATCTGCCTGTAATCATAAAGTACTTGATTTAAATTAAATGTCTTTTTAAGACTTTTAAAAGGAAAGCAAATTGCTGTTGGGATTCACTCCTGTGGGCTGGTGATACTCTGAGCTCTTCAACAGCAGTATTTTTTTGACACTCTTTACAGGTATTCTTGTTCAGAAGGTGGGAAACCACAAGTGAGGCAAAATGGAAATAGCATTGGCACTAAGTTAAAGGCTGGTGGCAGAGCTAAGCACTCCTATCTATTGTGAACATGTCATTCTTTTGGGGGCGAGAAGAAGAAAGAAGGGTTACTATCTGTTTAAGACACATCAAAAGTATGACTGAAGAGGGGAGTGCCTAAGGAAAGTCCTTGTAACTGCTAGCTCTTACTCAGAAGAATAATTACTAGCCTGACTTAAAAGGAACCTTGACTTACAAGAACATCAGGGCAATTAGCTGGTAGTGCTCCCTGGGTAAAGCATCAACACCCAGCCACTCAGCCCTATTGTAAGGACTATCCAGTCTTGGGAAAGAAAGGAAATTGATGTTTATACTCATGCTGGACTGCTCCCTCCAACATAGCATATTACCTGGCAAACTACTGGTATTTGATAAAATAATCTTTTAAATATTTAAATATATTAAATATTAATGGCTGAAGATGTTAGGGGAAGACACTTATCTTTAGGAGACTTGGAGGTATCTGATTGTTGCTTTTCTAAAAAAATTTCAAAATCAGTTGGAAGGAGATGTGGTTAATTGCACTAATAAATGTGATTGAAATGAAACCTATTGATTAAAGGAGAAAGTCATCACACAAAAGGAGATGACACAAGAGATGGAAATGTATAATTTAGAAGCCAATACTCCGTAAACATTTGTTGAATTATATCTCCTCTAAGGTAAATAGATGAAAAGGAAGTCCATTATCTAGAGACCTCACAACTATCAGCAAGCACTGTACACCTTTTCCTCGTGCTAGGACCTTTGCAGTTGGAGGTGAATTATCTATAGGGGCAATTTCAGGTAGAACCACGTTGTTCTGAGGCCCCCGTATTACAAAATAGGTGTAGCTCAGAGTCTTGGAAAGACAATGTCCTCAATACCAGAGTTAATTAAATAGTAATGGTTTATGTTTAGTGTGAAGAGAACTTTGTCCTGGACCTAGGTAATTGTATTGTAGTTTTTTTCATAAATAGTATCCATTGTTTATAAAGACATATTGATGTTATTTCAACGCTACTATTAAATAACTTTTTGAAAGTACTTTAAGATGATGATAGGATGGTCTTTGGTGCCGCCATCTAGATGTTGTGGAGAAGTCTAGGCCATGATACAAATGAGAGCCTGACCCACAGAAGTGCTGTGATTGACTTGCACGCTATTTTAAAGGTGGGAAATTCTGCGTAGAGGTCTGGTTTTCTAGCTCCTCCTAGAAGAAGAAAGTCATACAGACTGTCAAAGGTAGGCCTGCATTCTAGTGTGGCAGTAGTCAGCTACATCTGACTCACGGCATTCACACAATACCTGGCCAGTCTCTACCACCCCTTACTGCCTTAACACAGACCACCTACTTGATTTCTCTCTGTGGCTTCACTGATGGTTGAGTCAGAAACCCTGGCCAGCTCTTTCATATAGACTATCCCAGGGAATCCCTCTTATCAGTGCCAGCTATTTAAGGTGCAGTCTTATGTATTGAAGGGTTGCTAAGACAGTGAATTTTAAGCATTTTCTTCACAGGAGAAAAAAAAATACATGAGGTCATGGATATGAACTAGTGAACTTACTGTGGTAATCATTTCACAGTGTATGCATGTATCAAATCATTTGGTTGTATATCTTAAACTAATACAGTTTTATATGCCAAGTAAATCTCAGTAAAACTGGAAGAAAGATTTGGCTCCAGAATCCAGTAAAAATTATCATATATATAAGCATCTCAATTTTATTTCCAGGGTGCAATCTGCTGTTACCAATGTGTCTATGTTTTTTCTTCCTTTCCTCCTAACTTATGCCAAGAAATAGTCAAGTGCCCAGTCAACCTTCATGATCTGTGCAAACATTTAAAAGCTTAAAGGTGTTAAAATGTACTACCTTGGATTCATTTCTTTGGAAATATGTGTAGCAGATGTCTTAGTATTTGAAAGTTAAAGTAGCCACGTTGTTCCAAATATTTTTAACATTCTCTACGTGTAATAGCAGTGTAAATATGCTGTTCTTAGAAAATGTTATTTGCATTCTTAGACAAGTTACTACTTTGTTGAGTATTAACAAAATGCTCTTGACCTAAAGAGTAATTAATAGCAGAGATTTTAGCTTTCTTTCTGTTACTTAATTGGAAGAATCTTAGTAATTTTGACAAAATTGGACAGTTGTGTTGTTTTCCGTTTCATTAATATTTGGCTCACAAAGATAACTCCCAAAAAAGTGGCGTCTTTATATATTCTTAACCTTTTGTATAAAAGTTTTGATTCAGCTGAAAAATTGCTTTTTGCATTTCATAAATTGCTAATTATAATGTCTTAAGCTTCCATTGTTGTTCTGTGTATAAAGTTGTGCTCTTATTTACTTGACCTTTTATTAAGTTACATGGTCTATTTTTTGCAACAGTGGCATATAATAACATATTTTTCTCTTTTTTTAAAAATAGATTTGGACTGAGCAACAAATTTGAATCAGAATTCCCCTCTTCATTAACTGGAAAAGTGAGTGTCAATTATTTAGACATTATTTATATACCTCAAAAATAGTCTTTTCCTAATAAATTAGAAGAAAATTTATGTTAAAGAGACTTGTTTATTGACATTAATATTTCAGTATTGTTATTTCTTAAAATTTTTCTTTAGGTAGCTCCTGAAGAATTTAAAGCCAGCATCAACAGAGTTAACAGTTGTCTTAAGAAGAACCTTCCTGTTAATGTACGTTGGCTACTTTGTGGCTGCCTTTGTTGCTGCTGCACTTTAGGTTGCAGTATGTGGCCAGTTATTTGCCTCAGTAAAAGAGTAAGTTGAATTATATATTTTAATTTAAATTTAGAAATAGACAAGCGAAATCTTGCACTGTCTAGTTTTTATTTTTTGTATTGAATGAGTCTCTCTTTTGAATAATATACAAAAATAATTTGATCCAGTAGAGAAGTGATTGATTGACCATATACTGTTATATTCAATAGCCATCTAAAAATAATTTTTATGATATAAGACATTACGTTAGAGTAGAGTACAGCCTTATCTATATATCCATTGATGGTGGTAATTGGAAATTTGTATTAAGGTCTGCCACTTATTTCTGTGGCCACCTCGAATGTGTTTCCTAACCTCTTTAAACTTTAGTTGACATATCTGTAAAATGGCAATATTTACTTCCCTACTGAATAGGACTCTTGTAAGGATGAAATAGTGTTTGTAAAGGTTTTAGCTGAGTAGTTCAAAGTAAGTCTAATAAATATTGATTAATAGCATTATTACTGATCTATAAGATAGTACCTCAGAAAAAAATGGCAACAATGCTTGTTTTTATTTGTTAAAATTATGGAAAATTTGATTTTCTCTTTTTATTGAAAGAATTTTTGTTGCTGTTATTTTACAAGTTTCCTGTGATGAAATAGTAATCTTATAATCTGAAAAAAATGATCTGATGGTGGTAGTGGTTTAGTTGCTAAGTCGTGTCCGGCTCTTGCGACGCCATGGACTGTAACCCTCCAGGCTCCTCTGTCTGTGGGATTTTCCAGGCAAGAATGCTGGAGTAGGTAGCCATTCTGTCTCCAAGGAATCTTCCTGACTTAGGAATCAAACCCAGGTCTCCTGCAGTGCAGATGGATTCTTTACTGACTGAGCCACCAGGGAAGGCAAACAGATGCCCTGAAGACTGATAGTTTTGACCGCTTATAATAAAAATTTCCAAGATGTGGGTAGAGGTATGGCAAATTAGTACAGATTTAATGTTACATTTTTTTGTTATAAAGCTTTAAAAAATTATGGTAATTATATGTATAAAAATGAAATACATTGGAAGTGAATGAATATTTTGTGTGGCTACATTTCATTTTGTCATCAAATAATGATAAGAAACATAGAAAAGCAAATTTTATTTGTCCTTTTTTGTCTTACAAAATAAGATGTATATTCTACTGGAAAAGGTTTTTAACTAGTGCATTTTATTGATAGGAAGGAGATACTGCCTTGTAATAGAATTGCTATTGTAATATTTAATTTTTTATAGTCCAAGAATATTTCTTTTCTCCCCCCATATAGTACTCACCAGATCATCCTCCTACCATAGGTTAAAAGAAAACAATCTGGTTTTTCCTGCGTGCACAGTTGAGTTTGTGGCTCTTGTAGTTAGATCTCCTTGCTCCCTCCTGCTGTTCGGGCGTTTCCGTGCTTGCATGACTGCTGTAACTTCCTTGCTTGGTTGGTTGCTGTTATTTAACCCCAGGAATTAAAGAGTATTATTGCTATAGAAACCTTTGAAACAGTTATTTTTTTTTAATGAATAACAAGATATTGTAATGTGTGCACAGTGTAGGATTTAGAAAACAAAAAAACTTCCTACCCTTCTCCATGCATTCTTAGTAACAAGATCATATTTTGGATGCTTTCACTGAATTTTTTCTTATTTGAGACATAAGGTAGATTGACTTTTTTAGGTTATTTCAGTCTGTAGTTTCAGAAAGTACATTTCATTCAACTTTGTATTATTACCTCTGAAGTCTTTCTTGTATATATGTTTATGATTTAATTTTATATGGACTCTGCTGTCCACTAGGTATAAACAAATAATGATTACTGGTTAAAAAACTTTCCCTGTCATGGGTATAAGCTGTTACATAATTGGAGAGAGGGACCCTTCTTGTATATATGAAGGGTATTAGAGGCCCTGAAAAAAGGGATGCTTTGTCAGATGGGGGTAGGATTTAAAGAGGGATTTTTAACCTTTTATTTATTATTTTATTTGCCCTTTTCGTCTTACAAAATAAGACAAAGTAAGCTATAAAGTATTATAAATAAGACCACATGGTATTAAACTCAAGATGGATCCATAGAAATCAATAGAACAGAACCGATAATGTAGAAATCTGAGAAGCATTCTCTTGTATGGATATATTACAATTTGTTTATCCATTTACCAATTGAAGGACATCCTTTGTGAGGTATTTAACTTGCTAGTCTGTAATTGTTTTTTCTAATGTCTTTGGCAGAGCAAAAATTTTTTATTTTGATTAAGTCCAGTATATTAATTTTTAAAAAATTGTGTGTTTGTCATCATATCTGAGAATTCTTTGCCTAAATTAGGGTCACATTTTTCTCCTGTGATCTTTTCTGTGTTTTATGACCCATTTTGAATCCGTATTTGCATGTATGTGAGATACAGGTCAAAATTCATTTTTTACATATGACTTCAAGTTTTCCAGGTGATTTGTTGAAAAAAGTATCCTTTTCCCATAAATTGCCATTGTGTATTGTCAAAAGTCAGTCAACCATATTTATGTGGATCTATTTCTGGACTCTGTTCTGTTCTATTGATTTTTATGTGTCTATCCTGATTTTAATACCATGTACCATGTGGTCTCATTTGTAATACTTTATAGCTTTATAGTATATGTATTTGCTCTAGTACTATTTGTTGTTTAGTTGCTAAGTCATGTCTGACTCTTGCACCCCCATGGACTGTAGCACGTCAGGCTCCTTTGTCCATGGGATTTCCCAGGCAAGAATACTGGAGTAGATTGCTATTTCCCTCTATCTTCCCAACCCAGGGATTGAACCTGAGTCTCCTGAACTCTCAGGCAGATCCTTTACCATGGAGCCACCAGGGAAGCCCTGCTATAGTACTGTAGTACTACCATAAAACTATAAAGTATTATAAACAACACGTGTGTGTGTGTGTGTGTGTGTGTGTAGTTTAGTGCCTCATAGCTTTACAGTAAGTATTGAAATCAGGTAGGACAAGACTTCTAAACTTCGTTCTTCTGTTTTAAGATTGTTTTGGCTATTCTATTTTCATTTTCCACACAGATTTTAGAATCTGATTGTCTTTTAAAAGTTACAGTTTTGATTGGATTGAAATTATAAATCAGTTTGGAGAAAATTGACATCTTTAATAAGTCTTCAAAACCAGGGATGTGTTATACCTCTTCATTTATTTAGATCTTTGATTTCTTTTTCATCAATATTTTCTAATTTTTTGTGTAGAATACAGATCATGCACATATTTTATTAGCTTTATGTGTATATGTCTCTTTGTTTTTGATGCTATTAATGGTATTTTAAAAATTTTGATTTCCAGTTGTTCATTGCCAGACATAAAAAATGTAGTTGATTTTTGTATATTGGCATTGTGTCCTATGACCTTACTGCATTTCAGGAATATTTTTATAGATTCTATGGGATTTTTCTACATAGATAACCATGTTGTTTTATTTCTTGTTTTCTAATCTGTATGCCTTTTATTTCTTTTTCTCTCTTTTTCATTGGGTAGAATTTCCAGTAAAATATTGAATAGGAGTGATGTACGTGGACTCCTTTAAGTCCTAATTTTTTTCTATTTTTCTGTTTTTAATTTCATTGATTTTTTTGCTCTTATTTTTACTACTACTTCTTCCTTGCTTTGGATTTAATTTTTTTATTTCTAAGTGCAGTGACTAGAGTCTCCAGAAAGTCTTTGACTGAAATAGTGAGAACAGGGACTTCCCTGGCGGCACAGTGGATGGGAATCTGCCTGCCAGTGCCGGGGCACAGCTTCCACCCCTGGTCCGGGAAGATTCTGCCTGCCTCGGGACCGCTACGCTCGCGTGCCGCAACTCCTGAGCCGGCGAGCTGCAGCTGCTGAAGCCCCCACGCCTAGGCCTGTGCTCTTCACAAGGGAATCCCCTGCAGTGAGAAGCCTGTTCACCACAACTAAGAGTAACCCCCACTTGGGGCAACTAGAGAAAGTCCCCGTGAAGCAACAGAGATCCAGCAGAGCCACAGATTTTTTAAAAAAGAAAAAAAAAGTAATGAGAATAGATGTCCTTGTCTTATTGCTGATATTAGGGGGAATACAGTCACATTTTTATCATTCCATATCATATTATGGGGCTTTGTAGATGTTCTTTGTCATATGAGGAAGTTTTATTCTACTGCTTTGTGGAGAGTTTGCATCAGGAATAGATGTTGGATTTTGTCAGATACCTTTTTTGCTTCTTTAGAGTGGTTATATAGTTTTTTATTTTTAGTTTAAAAATATGTGGAATTGACTGAAATTTTAGACGTCAGGTTTGTTTAGAAGTCCTCTGTCTGCTCATGAGAGATATTTTTCTGTAGTCTTCTTTTCTCATAATATCTGATTTTGGCATTAGGGTAGTGATAGCTCACAAAATGAGTTGTGAAGTTTTCTCCTCTTCAGTTCTGAAAGAGTTTGTTCAGAAAATGCATTATTTCTTTCTTAAGTTTTAGGAGAATTCACCAGTGAAGCCATCTGGACCTGTAATTTTCTTTGTTGGAATTATTTAAACTACAAATTCAGTTTCTTTAATATATATGGAACTTTTCAGGTTACCTACTTTATCTTCATTGAGCCTCCTAGTTTCTATTTTTCAAGGGATTTGTCTATTTTATTTGAGTTGTTGAATTTTCATACAGTTCATAATATTCATTATTCTTTTACTACTTGTAAAATCTCTAGTAATATAACTGCTTAATTCCTAAAATTGTTAATTTATTCCTTGTTCTCTTTTTTTTCCCTGACCAATCTGGCTAGTGGTTTATTAGTTTTGTTACTTTCAGAGATCAACTTTTGATTTTATTGTTTCTATCAAGTTAATGTTTAATATTTCATAGGTTCCACTCTAACTTTTATTCTTTCTTCTTCTTACTCTGAATTTGTTTTGCTAGTTTTTTTTTAAAGTTGGAATCAAAGGTCATTGATTTGAGACCTTTTGATAGTTAATGTTAAAATTTTTCTTCCTGAGTACTGCTTTAGCTGTATTGCCCAAATTTGGTATGTTGTATTTTAATTTTCA